CGCCTGTGCCCGCAAAAGCAGCTAAGACTTGCAGAGGAACCCTGCTGAGAGTCAGTGAAAGTGTGAAACTCACTTGCAACATTGTATCTAGCCTTGAAACTCACTTGCAACATTGTATCTAGCCTCTAGTAGATCCGTAGTCTATTTTCTATAGTATAAAGCTTTAAAGTTCAATATAAAATCACGTTTGTGACGGATTTTCAGCATTCCAACGGTGTTTTGCTCAGGGAAAAGATGGCAACTAGAGGAGGAAGGTGAGGCCTGGGGTAGCCATACCCCCCCCCAGGCGTATGGTCACGTACCCCTGCCCATTCTCGATAGGTGCTAAGTCTCACCTTCCCGACTCTGGAGTGCCAGACTCAAACCCATTCTGAGAACAATAACCAACCGGTTTCAGTGTACTGGGATATTGGGAGAGACAATGGGGGGTATTTGACTTGGCCGGGAAGACAGAGATTGCTGGTATCACCTGTCCCAACTAGCGCCAGGGATGCCAACTATCCCTGATGGACAAGGCATCAGTTTTCAGCCAAGATGCTACTCCTAGTTTGTGACATATGTGTGACGATTTCAATGTGGGATTATGGAGGATCCGGAAAACTTTTAAAAGAGGGTGTCACCCTTTGTTCAGGGCTTCTCTATGTATCTCCTATGTTGTCGTTTGGAGTCATCGTTGCAACAATAAATATCAAGCCCCTTGGCTGCTGTTTTGCTTCTATATCCTGGCTATAATCTTTGTCTGACTCTCCAACCTGAACCTGCAGAACTTTTCAGCAGCGTTAAAGCACTCTTAAAGGTAAAAGTAAAGGGACCGCTGACAATTAGGTCCAGGATTCTTTGGGGGAAGCCATGACTCATAGTGTTATAAATATGTTTTAAATACATGGTGTGGATATGACTGTAGCATGAAATAGGTACATTTTTTATTTCCCCACCCCCACCCCTGTCGCCCACAAAGCACAAAAAAAGGCAACTGAACAAACCTTGGCGCTGGTCATAGTTTGTCTGGGATGAAATAAAACACAGGTCCTGGTCCAGATTTAATGCCAACACCGTTATGAAGAACAATTACAGTGTCTGGGACTTTTTGGTTTAGAAAAAGGTTGAGTAAGGCTCCACCCACATTTACCAATGCTCTACATTTCTAGGCTTTCCAGGTCTGTGTCAGAGTGTTGTTGTTTTTTTGCCCCAACACTTTCTCCATGAGAAAGTGCTGTTCTTTGCTGCTGAACTGGAGCAAACAATAATCCACAGAAAACTTGAATTGCCATTTGCTCCAAATCATTGGTAGATATTGGGTCTTCCTGGGAAAAATGGGAGAGGGGGAGAAAATGCTCATACACAGACCAGGAAAGCGCAGGCCTATGCGCTTATAACAGAATAATAATAATAAAAAACATGACGAGACATCAAACATTAAAAACTTCCATAGGTGGGGACTGTGTACCCTTTTATCCCAGCCTCACCTTTGTTGGTGAGACTGTGATCAAGGGGCTTCGAAGAAGATGCTGGGACTATGAGTTCTTCAGAACATGAAAGCTTAAAAAGATTGTGACTTCCATATGACAGGATGCTTCCACATAACAGTTTATTCTGGACTCGGTGCATGTATGTAAGCTTTGCACAGCAGCCACATAACTTTTGTCTTCATCAAAATGCTATCCCATATTCTTTCTTCATTAGACCTGGTGTGGAGGAACCAGAGCAGGGACTGCCCTGCTCTGTGCTTCTATCTTGTGAATATGCAGGTGAGCAAGGCTTGCTGATGGAGATCAGCTGAGAAACAACCCTGCAACCAAACAACCATTTCTCCTCCTTGCAGTGGGACCTGATGAGACAAATAAGAAAGGGCTGGGTGAGGGAGACATACAGCTGTTGGCAATGGGGTTCTATGATCCTTATAAATGAGGAAGCGGGTGGGGAAGGACTGTGGCACAACATCAGCCTAAAGTTCCAAAGCCTAGGAAAGAGAAGGTGCTGCAGAGGGGCTGGTAGACCACAGAGCAAGATGAGGTGTTCAGACAATGCCAGAAAACGGACCCTAAGAGGAGCTGCTGGGGTGGTAAGTACATACAAACAACTGAAGCAATGAATCTGGATTAAATGAGGGGAGGAAGAAATATGGGATGCTATTTTTAATGAATATAAAGTCATGTGATTGTTGCAAACAAACAAACTTGCGTGTGTGAGCTGCACTGAGGCCACAACAAACTATGTGGAAACACCCAAGGCCCATCTAAACAGTACTTGCAGAAGTTCTAATGTATACAGAACAAACACTTTACATGTGGTTTCCCTGACATGTGGTTAATGTATCAGATCATCTCACAAAAACATCTTGCACTAAGTTTCCACTATCTGTTTGAAGCGGAGGTAACCCATCTCTGAGTGTGCAGTTGACTAGCGCTGTATGAAATTCAGAGATACCAGAAAGATACAAAATGATGACTGAGTGCTGGCGCTGTGCTATCATACAGCACATGTTGCTGGGTAATTTTCCTGCCTCATCCGGAAACTGTTTTCTTGGTGGTTTGGCTTGCTTTCATTTCAGGTTATGCTATTTAATCTTAAGAGCAGCAGCAACTTTTTATGTTTTGAAAATGGGAGTCAGACAAGAACCTTTCTGGTCCCTGGTTATATTGCAATGCAGTACAGTATTAGGCACGTTTAGCAGGCTTATTCCAAAGCCGCCAAGTTCTACACGTTTCATTGCAGAATCCATAGGAGCCAACTCCTAGGGGCCTGAGGTCCTTTTGCCCCCCATAAAATATTTGAGGGGGCCAGGCATGGATGTAGAGGCGCTTTGTTGGACGGGGGCGGGGCGGGCAGAACCGAGTTATCTGCAGCATGATTGGTCAGTTAAGCAAACACTTTTATTTATTTATTTACTGGATGGAAGGGCAGTTGCACCCCCTTGGCTGCCCCCCCCCCAAATAAAGTGGATGGGTATTGCCATTCAAATAGTGCATGTGTGCTACATCATGTGATTGATTATGCAGGGTGGGGCTTACCTGCGCGGCACCGGCCCCATCCCCATACCCCAGTATTTTATTCAAGTTTGCACCCCCTGGCAGAAATTCTTTTAAGATCCAGTGACAGGGCAGTAATGCCACTTGTGTGTAGCATACGTAGGGACGGGCGAAACTTATCTATTTCGGTTCATCTGAGTTTCCAGTATTAAATCATTTCTACATCTTCTTGAAGTGCTTCTAAACAGAATGTGTGTGTATATACGCACACAAAATTAATGTGTGTGTGTTTGTGCGCGTGTGTGCGCATTCTCACGTTACGCGCGTTTCAGTCTCGGCCAACACGTTTCGCTGCCGGGAGAGGGAGACTTTGAGGTGGTTGTTGTTGTTGTTGTTTTTACCTAAGCCTGACTCTTTTTATCTTTACCGCGTTAGGCCCCGCCCCTCCATCTAGGTGGCCGACCAAGAGGCCCTATCGGCGCTTGTGGCAGCAGCAGCCGCCTCAGCAGCAGCAGAAGGAACCGGAGCAGAGCGAACTACGACCGCCGCGCGAGAGGCGGACACCCGGCTCCTATCACAGCCGCTGCCGCCGCCGCAGCCGCCGCTAACAACAACATGGTGAAGATCTCTTTCCAGCCGCCCTTCGCCGGCAAAGACCAGTCCAAGAAGGAGGCGGCCGAGGTGCTGGTGGCCGACAAGGTGAGCGCGGGTCGAAGCTGCGACGTCGGCCCGTAACCGGCCGCCCTTTAATCTCCCTTCCCCCACCGGCGCCATTTTGTGGTGGTGGCGGCGGCAGCGGAACGGGAATTAGAAGGGAAGTAAAAACACACGACGAAGAGTGCGAGGCGCGGGGGGGGGGCGCATCGGGAGCGCTCCCTCCACCAGCACTAGCACCCCAATAACGCACCTTCGGGGAGCAAAATAATGGCGGCGCTGCCTTGGCGAAGGCCTCTTTAACCCCAAAGGCAGCCCCATTCCTAAGCCTCCCTCGGCAACTTCAGAGACCGGGTCCTGTCATCTCTAGCCGGACAGCTCTTTTCAGACTCACACACCCATCTGCCCCCCCTTATTTAAACCCATTTCGCAATCGGCAGGTGCCTTGGATCCATAGCTGTCACTTTTCCCTTTTCTTGCGAGGAATCCTATTCAGAATAAGGGGATTTCCCTAAAAAAAAAGGGGGAAACGTTGACAGCTATGCTTGGATCAGGCCGCGGACCCCCCTAGCTTTTCTAGCCCGCACCTGCATTAGGCGCGTATAAAGTGTGTGATAATAATAATAATAATAATAATACACGACAGCCTCTGCCTGCAGACTCATACTCCCAAAAAAGACGGCACCAAAAAAGAGAGAGGAAGTGATAGTGACAGTGGTGGTTTTAAGGGTAAGGGGAGAATTAATGCTGCTGCTGCTTGTGATTTGGATTGCAAAGCTGCCTTGAGTGTATGTGAAATTTAAGTAATAGTTGCTGGGGTTTTTAATAACAACAGTAGCATTAAAACATATTTTCTTCTGCGTTTGACTGGGTGTAGTGTGCTGGTTTGTGACTCCCTTAGTCCGACACTTGCAACCCAGCAGTGGTTTAGTTGTGGAGTAGCCTGCTGCAAGCATCCCAGACACTGCACCTTATAAAAGGATGCTGGTGTTCCATAACACAATGGTATGGCAGATGCTTTGCATGAAGAGGCTGCCAGGTTTTAATCCCTTGCCTCTCCGGCTACATAAAGGATCTCTGCTAGCATGTGCAAGACATTTGTCTGAGATCCCGGGACACTGTAGTTTAAGCTGACATTGATTCTAAGTCCACCGGTTAAAAGTGCAGAAGTAGGTCACACCCACGCATGTAAGGGGGGGGGCGTTGCACCTGTGTAAATGTGCCTGTTCATTATGGGGGTTTCTACTTTGCCTTTTAAACAACTTATCAGTGTGACTAACCAAAATATATACATCAGAGTACACATATGGGTAGTGTTGAATGAGCCCTAGGCAAGTGAGGGTAGGATTTCAGCATAAGTCTTCCACTTCTTTCAGGTTCTGGAGCCCTCTCAAATGCATTAGGGGACCACTTCTATTCTTCTTTTAAACCACCCTTGTCCCAATGTTTTGTATATGTTCCCTGAGAACTTTTCATAGCTCTATATAGGGGCTGGGAGTTGAACCTGGAACTCGCTGCATGCAAAGCAACAGTGGAACTTTTTGCATTGATTTTCCTGGTATTATTATTATTATTGGTGCAAGCCTGCATGGAAAGTGCAGTTTTCTTTAACACATTAATATCACTCTGCCTCTGTTCAGAGCCATCTTCCCTTAGTATCTCCAAGGACCTTAAGGTGGCATACATGTTATCCCCCTGTGATAGACGTTAGGCAGGGAGATGGTGACTACTCCATTGTCATCAAATGAGCGTCATGACTCAGGAGGGGATTGAAATCCAAGTTCTTCTAGGTCCAACATTCTAACCACTACACCACACAGCTGAGGCTTAACACACAGGTGGTGCTTTGCCTGTTTCATAGTTGCCCTAAGTGTTGTGTTGGTGGGTTTTGCATTAGGATAGCTAGTGTCTGTCTTTTTCTGGCCAAATGCTCTTTTCTGTGTTTTCCTGCACAAAAGTTGTGACTCATTCTCAATTTAAAGAAGTGGTTGATTGACAGTGCATATGTTTGTGCATGATTGCATTTGGAAATGGTTGCAAACATGTACTGGGGAGCTGCAGGCAGTTGAACAGCACATTGTCACACAAATACTTGCTTCACGTGTGATAGCTGTGTGCCATCTCTAACTTTGTAGCATGTAAAGCAAACTTAATTGCCTCAGTGCCAACAGATCTCTGCTTTATCCTCATGTTGGAAATAGCTACACTTCCATTGCAGGATAGATCTAGGTAGTGGAAAGCTGGTTGATTGTAGCTCCCATGTGATCACTGAATATTTTAAATCCTTAAGTTTCAGTAAAATCCACAATGCATTAGAAACTAAATGCAAGCTCATAATAACATAATCTTAAATTTCGCCTTCTATCCCTGCCCATTTTTACCTGGGAGAAAGCTCACTAAATGCAGTGGGGCTTGTTTTTGATTAAAGATGTACATTTGATTGGTTTGCAGATATGTCTTGACTCTGATGGAGAGTTCATGCCTAAATTTGAGGCATGTGAAGGCCTAGTTCCAAAACTTTGAGTTTTCATTTATACAAAAGTGTCTCAACATTACAGGTGATCCATATTTTATGGTTCTAAGCATATTTACATGGAAACAAAATCTACATAAAGCCTGGTATGTCCCTTAGCAAAACAAAATAAAGATAACGATCACATGCATCCTCCTCACCCAAGAGGGGTCTGACTAGACAGCCTTGCCTAGTTTCCTGTCCAGCAGTAAAAAAACCAGGTACGAGTGGTGCATAAATAGAATCCTTTCAAACATAAAATGGAAATGTTGCTTTGTTTTCACAGATGTTTCCTCTCTTCTTACTTTCATTTTAGGTGAAATAATTGAACTGAAATGTGCCTGAACCCTTATTTCCTACAAATTTCCAACAAGTGGCAGACCTGCTTTTTCTAGTGTTACAGTTCACTTTTGAGATTGTGCAAGTAAAAGCATTATGAGAAATTTGTTTTGCAATTCAGCATTTGTATTGGCATAATGATTCAGAGGGTGGAGGCTACTGATGACTAGCAAAGTTTATGCAACATTCCTGGTTTGATTCCTGATAACCAGCCAAAGAACCTCTTGGAGCAGAGAGTCTGGGAAAGATTTCTTTGTGAGCCTTTAGGAGATGCTGCTAGGCAGACATGATAGGTACAGACCTGTCTTCAAATGCTGGGTTACTATGTAATCTCTGTAAAGCAGTGGTACAATGTAATGTGCCAAAAGGATGCAATGTGCCAAAAGGTACTCTTAATCCTCTCCGCCCCCACATTCAGTCCCTCAAAAGTTTCCCAGTCAGGTTATAGACTATGAATAACTAATTTTCATGTCTTTCTCTAATGATATAAATCACATATTCTACTCCCACCTCTAGACAGGACTGCAGCAGGCATCCACTTGGCCTGCATCTGCCACTGATTTGTGTAGATGAACCAATAGTCTGCTGAATAGACAATATTGGGCAAGTTATAAGGCAGCTTCATATGTTTAAACATGCAGCTATTAGTACTATAATGAAATTTTGCAGGTAATTACTTGAAAAGAATGAATTGTGGGATTGTGAGATTAGCCAATTAATGTGCAGGCTCACTTGTTATTAAATATCAAGAAGACATGCATGACAGTTCTTTGGGCAGAAAGGAAATACTGTTGTGGCTGCTACATTCTAATACTAATTTTGCTATTTAGTGCAGAATGCTATTTTATTATTTGCAGTCTTGCAAAACTTACACTTGAACATACAGTTTTAACATTTTGAACTGTCTAACATTGCATAAGAGTCTAAGGTCGAGTTTATTGCTTTCTGAATTTTTTTCTGGTGGGCTAGGGGCGCAACTGTTTGTGTATTATCCTGTGTCTGGCACATTAGGAAAAATGTTTAGCTTTCCAGCTTCAGGGTTGTCCTCCACCCTGCAATTCACTGAGTTCCTTGCAAAAAGGGATGGGCTAAAAAAAGATGATTGTAAATATTTTGGTCTTGGTGTTCCTAATATTGGGATTTTCTGTAATACATGAAGTTGAATTAAACCAGGCTTTGACTGGACTAAAATATATATTTGTGCATGAAATTAAATTGTCTTGATCTTTGCAATAGTACATGAGTAGTTGTCCCAAAAGCTGATGTGGAAATAACCAGTGTTGCTAGTAATTCCTTGTGAACTGTGCAGGAGCTGTACATTTTATGATTGTACAGGTAGCACATTGGTGCCTGATCTTTTCTTCATTTACACTGGCTCAGTTAAAAGGCAGGTTACAACTTGACCACGGTGCCTGACTCTGGATTTTTGAAGATGCTTGGCTTCAACTAAATGACATAATTGAAGCTGGAAAAAGCATATTTAATTTTAACATGCTAGCATCAGATTTCAAGATGCTTGAGCAAACTAGTGAAAAAATCTTCCTGGCTTGTATATACACAGCTGAAGTTAACTATCTGTAGAGCAGAACTGAAATTATATTAGACAATTATATGGATTCTGAAACTTTAGAACCCAAGCTACTTGCTTACTAAAAATGCAAATATGTTTTGGCTGTTAGTATTGCCCCCCTTTTTTAAAAAAGCCACATATCTAGCATTGTTAACTGGCAAAATTGCTTCAACAGCATATTAGGTTCTCAGAGAACTAGAATATTATTTGCATAGTAGAAGTTCAGAATCTGCTGATGCTTCTTTTTCGATAGTTTATAACTTGCTGTTCCTCTTCTAAATCTGAGGGTGGAGAGGTAAGGAGGAGGAATGTCTCATCTTGCCAACCCTTTGAATACTTTTATAGTCCTACTGTACTGATGATTTGAGTGGACAAAGATCCTTGAAATCAGTTTAACATCTGAATTTCCTGTTTTAAAACTCATCATTTTTTTAAAATGAGCTTAGCTGAATGTTAAAAGCAAATGCCACACTGAAACCTCTCAGCTGATAATGCTCTTGAACAAACAAGGCTAAATATGCATGTCATTGAGTCGTACTGCTTTTGTTTTTAGAATTATGGAAATAATCTTCCTTTTGAAGTCACACACCTCATAAATATGATCTTGATGTTAGCAACTATGGATTGGAAGGTCATCACAATTTTGTGGTTTTGTGTATATTTGCAGTTAACCACAACCCCTTTAAATGTTCTTTGCCATAAATATGAGCAAGGAGCAAATGCTGTTGAATAGATAAATTGACTTTTTATAACTTTAAAGAGTTATAGAAGTTATAACTGACAGATGTTACCGAGGAACAGCTCCAATCACCCCTGACCATTGGCCATGATGTCTGGAACTGATGGGAATTGGAGTTAAAACATTTAGAATGTCACAGGTTCCCCATCCCTGCCTAACACTTAAGGAAGGATTGCCTTGGGAGGGAAGGGAACAATGAGCTGAATTATGTTAAGGGAAGTTTAAAATGTGAAACCTTTATTTTTGCAGCCTAGTAGGCAAAATTCACTGTAGCACCGTTCTGTAATTTAACAAGAGGCACAAATCCATCTGTAGTTTTTAAAAAGCTATTCACTGTTTGTGTTTAAAGCAGATGCTATGGCATCCTTGTTTTAAACACAAAGGGCTCAAAACACGTTCCACTCTCCCATGAATGAAATATAGGTGTACTATGGCATCCTTGGGTCAAACATTTCTCAAGGGTGTTGTCTGGCACTGTTGGCTTTCACCTTGAAGTGTGGTATCATCCTGCTGAGTCAAGGTAAGGTGTAATTAGTTAAAGAAAATATTGTCTCCAAGACAACAAAGAACTTTAGTTCTCTCTCTCTCTCTCCCTCTCTCCTTAAGGATCCAGAAGTTGCAACACATGGGCACGAAAGTTCATCTGGAAGATGTCTGCTGATTCTTTTGGGTCTTGCGCTTATATTGGCAGGAGTGGTGGTTGGTGGAGCCTGCCTCTATAAGTACTTCATGCCAAGGGTAATGGAAATACAACTCTTTCCCCCTTTTTTCCCTTTTGCAGATAAAATTGACAAAGCAAATATAAACATACAAAATAAGCAAAATATTTCACACAGTGTAAGCATGATATGTAACTGAATTGGAAAATGGGTCTAAACTTACATCTGCACCTCAAAGCTGTGGTGCTGAGGAAGCTAAGAACTCAAAAAGTGAATATGCCTGGATTCTTCTCATGTTTGTGACTGGGACAGCCAGAGTTATCTTGCTGAACTGAGGCCTCAGTCCTGGGAGCCGCCATCTTGGCTTTCCCCCTCCTTGTCCTTGTACTGTGACAGGCCCCATGGGGCCCTGTGAGATCCTTGGGTCTTGCAGGATCTCGGATGCATCCTTCCCTGAAGGTTCCGTGTCTGCCTCAGTAGGACTGGCATTCTTGGCAGTTCTGCTGCTTGCCATGATTTGGGTGCCAGACTCTGCACTGAAGCATCCTGAGATGGTAAGCTGGTCTTGGACATCTTAGTGGTGTTGGGGACCAAGTCTTGTCTTCCTGCCCCACACCAAAATATTTTTAAAAAATATGCAGAAAAGTTCAAAACTTTTATTTAACTGTGTGATTGTAGCAGATCTGCTATTTTCTTGAAGGACTTTGCAAACACAACTCAAACTGCTGTGAGCTTATACATTAACAGAATATATATAGGGCACATGTTCTGAACAAAGTTTAATAGACAAAACACTGAGTCAGGAGGAATTTGTGGAAATGTTTAATACAAGTATTTGTTACAACAGTGCCATCACACAATTCACACATAAAGTCACTGTTCAGGGAAGTTTTTAACGTGTGATATTTTACTGTATTTTTGCCTTCTATGGAAGTCGCCCAGAGTGGCTGGGGAGGCCCAGCCAGATGGGCGGGGTATAAATAATAAATTATTATTATTATTATTATTATTATTATTATTATTATTATTATTATTTATTTATTATTTATTATTATTACGCTTGTCTGCACCAGTCTTGCACATATATTTTACAAGGGATTAGGTACAATTGGAATGTCATTTATTACAGTTCTCTCATGCATCCAATGAAATGGAGAAATGCCTTCCTCTAATAAACTGAAAAGACTTAAACAAATGTGAAACAGTATCCTGTACATTTGTTCCATATTAACTTAAAAAAACACAGCATCTTTGCTGGAAAACAACAAACTTGGAAGTAATTTGTATTTCTTTGCATATACCTCTTACGCACCTTTGATTTTTTTGTATTTTTTGAACTGTAATTAAATGACTTTATTGCAACTAACAGAACCACAAAAACATTTCCCCTCATTAGATTTTTTTTTTTTTTTGCCCAATATTGATTTTATTTCAGGTGACACTACAGAAGTGGAAAGTCTGCTAAAATGCATTATGGTTGTGGCAAACCAATGCTGGGTTGTACCCAGCTATGTTATACTTGGAGTAGACTCATTGCAATTAACAGACACAAGTTAATAATTTTAAATGGGTCTGCTCTAAATAGCACTGGATAATCTGTTCCTAAAAGAAGTCTCATAATTGATTACTGTGATTTATTTTTAGCGTGCAATGATGCGTGGGCAAATGTGTTACGCGGGAGAGGATCAGCAAGAGCAGGCAGCCGAACCCTACTTCTTGCCCATTGCTGAAGAAGCTGACATTCGTGAGGATGATAATATTGCCATCATTCAGGTTCCTGTTCCAAAATTCTCTGACAGTGATCCTGCGGCGATTGTTCATGACTTTGAAAGGGTGAGTTGTGACAAGTCTAGAACTTTTCTTTTTGAAAATTACACCATCTGTTGAGTTTTCATAATTGGCAACACAAAAAACAAACACCCTCATCCTTCTACATCAAATAACAGAAATGATGTTAGTAACATCTAGCCTTGTTGCTTGCTTTAATTTTGGTTCACCTGGTGCAAGTTAGTACAAGCACATAATTCACAGCTTCAGCTTACTGGCCACTAGTCTTGCCTAAAAAAAAATCAGAAATGTTTCTCCATTTTTGAGTCCTAATTTTGTGTGTTAAATTGTCCATTATTAGTCCCCCGCCCCTTTTAAAATGCAGTCTCTTTACATTTCAGGTAGCAGCTTCTGAGGGTGTATACTTGTGTTAGGAAATGTTGTGGTGGGCAGTTTGGGAGCTACCATTTCAAGGAAGAGGGAAACAAAAGACTGAGGTGGAGAGTGTGGGTCACATGTGGATGTATCACAGGCTGGCAGTTCCCACCCCTGCTGTAGCCTATCCACTGGTAGCAGTTATTCATTATCATGTATAGGTTTAAGAAAGTGCCTTAATTCAGAGTGAAAATAAGTTGAAACTTTGTGCTGAAAGACTGAATGCATAGTAATGGTGATCCTGGAAAGGGGCTGGTGCCTTACATTCCACAAGAGTAGTGTTCTGCCTGTAACTGTGTTTTGAGATACATAGGTCTGCCATGCTTTGCAGTCTATAATTCTATGTATTTTTTAAGAGTATGCAAAGCTGCTATTTATAAAACTTTCCAATAAGGTTGGTATTCAACATAGACTTAACACTTATTTTCAGATAATAAATCTCCTTTTTTATTCTTGGTTCTGTTGTCACTATGTCATCTTTCCTCTGCCACCTTAAACTTGTTACATGAGTTGTAAGTGATTTATGTGCAAATTGCTTATCTTCAAAATGGATGTCAAGAATGTATTACTCTAAGACCAATGGTTAGAATGGCTGTTTTAAAAAGTTATTAGCATCTTTGCTTGCCAAAATGGATTCTCTTACTCCATTGGAAAGGACTCTTTCTCTGTGTTGGAAGGGAACCTTTTGATAAATCCCAATACTTGAAACTTTATTGCTTCTCTTCAAATCGGTTACATAATTTCATTGATTTAATCTGTAAAGCTCTTGGAACATTTTTATAAGAACTAATTTGAAAACAATGACTTGAGTCGTAAGATGACTTAAGGAAGTTAAGTGAAGGGAAGTTTTCTGCCCCCTCTTCCCACCTATACTCACTCATTAAGACTCCTAAACTGCCTCTCTAGAGGGTTGGTGAACCCTCTTGAATAATGTGGAACTGATCACACGGAGCTGCTGGAAAAAGGAGATGGAAAAATTTCCTTCTCTTGAGATTCCTTCCGTTATATTAGAGACCAAGACAACAGGTGTATTAAAGTATGAATTTCCCTTTATTTCCCCCCCAAAAGCAGGTCAGGGAAACCGAACCAGGTCGAGGAACAGCGGGATAGTGGCGCTGCGCCTCCCTGCTGTCCCCCGAGCTTGTGGGGCTGGCTGATGTCTGCCTGGCGCGCGGGGTGCTCTGCTTCAGGGCGCCCCACCCGCCAGGCAGCAGGCTGCTATCCGCAGCATGGGGAGCCCTGTGGGGAACTCCTGCAAGGCTCCCCACTCTGCGGATGTCTGCCTGGCGCGAGGGGCGCTCTGCTTCAGGGCGCCCCACCCGCCAGGCAGCAGGCTGCTATCCGCAGCGTGGGGAGCCCTGTGGGGAACTCCTGCAAGCCTCCCCACGCTGCGGATGTGTTCCCGAAGCGCCTGGAGCTCTGCTTTCAGGGCGCCCGACGCTCCGGGAAGCAGGCTGCTATGGCTAGCAGAGCGCTAATCCCGAACCTTGGGGCGTGCGGAGCTCAGCGCGCCCCAAGCTTCTGGGCGCCGGCAAGGTCTCCGCTAGCCTAGCGGAGACCTTGCCGGCGCCCAGAAGCTTGGGGCGCGCTGAGCTCGCACGCCCCAAGCTTCGGGATTAGCGCAGTGGTCCGCTAGCCCTGGGAGAGCCGCGCGACGTCGCGGGGCTCTCCCAGGGCTAGCGGAGACTTTGCCAGCACCCAGAAGCTTGAGGCGCGCTGAGCTCTGCACGCCCCAAGCTTCGGGATTAGCGCAGTGGTCCGCTAGCCGTGGGAGAGCCGCGCGACGTCGCGGGGCTCTCCCAGGGCTAGCGGAGACCTTGCCGGCACCCAGAAGCTTGGGGCGCGCTGAGCTCTGCACGCCCCAAGCTTCGGGATTAGCGCAGCGCTTCGCTAGCCCTGGGAGAGCTGTGCGACGTCGCGGGGCTCTCCCAGGGCTAGCGAGACCTTGCCGGCACCCAGAAGCTTGGGGCGCGCTGAGCTCTGCACGCCCCAAGCTTCGGGATTAGCGCAGCGCTTCGCTAGCCCTGGGAGAGCCGTGCGACGTCGCGGGGCTCTCCCAGGGCTAGCGAGACCTTGCCGGCACCCAGAAGCTTGGGGCGCGCTGTGCTCCGCACGCCCCAAACTTCGGGATTAGCGCAGCGGTTCGCTAGCCCTGGGAGAGCCGTGCGACGTCGCGGGGCTCTCCCACGGCTAGCGGAGACCTTGCCGGCACCCAGAAGCTTGGGGCGCGCTGAGCTCTGCACGCCCCAAGCTTCGGGATTAGCGCAGTGGTCCGCTAGCCCTGGGAGAGCCGCGCGACGTTGCGGGGCTCTCCCAGGGCTAGCGGAGACCTTGCCAGCACCCAGAAGCTTGAGGCGCGCTGAGCTCTGCACGCCCCAAGCTTCGGGATTAGCGCAGTGGTCCGCTAGCCCTGGGAGAGCCGCGCAACGTCGCGGGGCTCTCAGTATGTATTCAAATTACTGAGATTTCCTGTTTCTTCTTGGCAGTCCTGACTGCCTACCTTGATCTGCAGGCTGGGTAACTGCTATGTGATCCCTCTGAACACGTCCATTGTTATGCCACCACGGAATCTGATGGACCCTCTTTTCAAAATTAAACGGGTTTGCCATTGTTATATTTCAGTGTAACATGGGGAAGAGTTTTCTTTTTCTATGAAAGACAGTGAAATGTATTATTGTTTATCAATGGTATCTTTTCTTCAGCGATATCTTTCTTTAGCTGGCCACGTAGCTTGCTTACGAAAAGTCTGTTGATGACCAGTGTTGGTTGACTGATGGCTTATTGGGAGCATCTGTATCACTGATGCCAAAAGTATAAACACTGTTTTCAGTATGATGCATGTAATGTTTTTATTTGCGTCACTCAGAACTTATAGGTAGAGATAGGACAAGCCTAACTATGTCTAGACCTTCTTACTTGCATTTAGATGCAGGCAGCTGATGAGACTGAATAGATCTCTACTTAACTTTGCTACAAGCCCAGGCAGGGGCTGCTTCCTAAATCAAGCATACTTAAATAGTAAACTACATTAAACTGAGACTTCCTTCCAAGTGGATTGGTGCGGGGAGCCTTTTTCAGTCTAAGGTTCACATTCACTTCTGGGCAGCCTGGAAGCCAAAAGCCAACAGGGGGTGGAGTAATGAATGGATTTAACTACTACCTTGGTACAGGAAGCTACATTCTAGCCATGCAAAAGTCAGAGGTTTACACACACACACACACACACACACACACACACACTAGGAAGCAAGAGAAATTATCATTATTCATGGACAAATCCTTCTTCAGAAATTTTTATCAAGTGCATTTGGTACGAACTCCTAGAAACATGACCCCAGGGAATAACCTTTTGTGATCAAGGTCTGGGCACACTATCTGCAATAAATCTTGCTTTAATCATCTGAAGTTTTCACCTTTTCTCATAGATTCCACATGTATAGTTGCTCCCTTTATTTAAAGTTCCTTTGCAAATGTGAATCTTCTTCTTTGGGTATTGAAAAAAAAGAATTGAAAATATTCATACTGGTGATATTTGTGTTTTTCCACAGACTGGTTCCTATTTGCCTCAGACTTACCTTGTTCGTGAAGAAATGGTTGTGACAGAAAAGATTGATAATGTGTCGGATCTGGGCATTTTCATTTACCAGCTCTGTGTAGGGAAGGAAACTTTCAGGCTTCAGCACAGAGATAAGACCAATGGTGAGTATTTCAACTGAGAATGTAAACTTAGCTTCTTACCTTAAGCAGAAAAAAATAAAATCTAAAAATATTCTGTAAGCTTCCTGAAAGAGCTTTACTTGATAAATCTATCTAGTTTTTTCTTTTTTAATTTTTCTTTAATAGAAAAGGCTTTTTCTTTCTAAGGTTACATATGGGAAAGTGGAGCTACATAGTGAGACTAAATCATTAAATTAAACTGGTGAAAAGTCAATGTTAACACCTCTAGCAGCAGTTCAAGCATGAATATTCTGATAAAGTCAGAAATTTAAGATTTTGTTCAGAATCTAAAAATGTTTGAACAGTTAACTGCATTGGTATCTTGCTTGATGGCATTTTGGAAGTATTTGGTTCAGTATTTAGCTAGTGAATTGTGGGAAACTTCACACAGTAGCTCATTTCCAGGGTAGGAAAAGTGTTTGTACCCAACCTGCACATCACTATCCCTAACACTCCTTCCAGAATTGCATTTCCCTGGTTTTAAATCAATAGATACATTCAACTTGGCACACATAGCCATAAACAGACTAACCAGGAAATAAATCTTCTGTCTGAAATCTTCATATTACTGTTCAGCATTAATTGGTGTTGTGTTCTCTTATTTAGGCATCCAGAAACGCTCAGCTGAAAAGTGTCATTCAATCCGGCACTTTGAAAACTTGTTTGTTGTGGAAACCAAGATCTGTCAGCAGTGAAAAGTACAGGGTAGAAAGTGACAATCACACATCTTCATTAAGAAGTCGAAGCTTTATCTCTTTATTTTCAGAATTAAAACATGCAGTGATAATCAAAACCTTATGCTTTTTTGTGGGTTGCTTAAATTTAAAAACAAAAGAAGGAAATTCCAAATTTACCATGATTTTTTCTTTGTGTCCCTGGTGTGGCTAAATTTTCTAGCTTTCATTCGCACTTGCTAACACAAAAGTGAATACCCTATACCCACCTGATTATCTGTTTCACAGCATAGTCTTACACGTCTACTTGGAAGTCTTACTTTGTTAAAAGAGACTTACTCCAAATTAAGTGTGTAGGATTGCAGCCTCAAACTAATTTAAAAAAGGACTGCAAGTAGCAAATTCCTGCATAGAAATGTAGTCCAGTCAACACCTGACTCTTTACAGAATGATGAAAGTAACACATTAATATCTGGTTTGCACATTTATATGTAGCTCTGTAGGATTGCTCTACATTAAGTCTGGTCAGAAACTACATCAAGACTTCTAAGGTTTATTTGAACTTCATAGGAGAAGCATGTAAACTAACCTTGGTAATCATAAACATTTTTTCCCCATTTTGTGCAATTACTGTATTGAACTTGTATGTATATTTGGAACCTTCCTTGAGTTTACTTTAGTACTTCTTTATTTTGGTTCTTTAGTGATATTTAGTTATATGTTCAGGAGCAGTTACTCTTTAAAAGCTTTTATGTTAGTATTTTGGCGCTGGACTGGTTTCAACATCTTTATTGCAAGCTTATGTAATTACAACCTAATTTGGCCCAATTGTCATTGTTTCTGTAGCTGTGAATTCCAACCCCCCAAGCCTATGTTTCAGAGAATAACTTCTTATAAGCACAGTAGCACTAAGACTGCAGTCGAAAGTATTATCTTTGCTTAAGACTGTGGTACACGATGGTAAAGGGATTGTTAGTGAGCTGCTAAGTTGAGTGTTTTGTATAAGGGACTTTATATTTCTCACAAATCCTGCAGCCCTCCAATAAATGTTTCTTTAAGACTATGGTGGTGGTCTCACTTTGTTGGCAATACAAGTAATTGTGAGAGGGAATATTAATGCTGTCAAAATATTGGTAGCGTATCACTCCTGTGCTGAAACTGCTATAGTCAAGAACCATGTATTCTACAGTACTTCAGAATGTTATATTAGGTGCAGAATCTAGTTTCCTGAGAAACTTAGGCTTTCAGGTTTGTGTTTTGCCATCATTGTTCTGAATTATAGGCAAAGATTTGTGTATCTCTAGAGCTAAAGGCGTGGAGGAATTGATCACAGGGTTTCCTTTTCTCTCACAGACTAACAAAGAATAAAGTATGTAACTTGTATATAGTTGGAGAATAAAGTATGCACCTGAGAGAGGCATAATTTAGCCTGCTGAATTCATTTATTCATGGGTGGGGTGGGAGGTGCTTGTGAATCCTGTTTACTGAAAACCTTCCCGTACACCAAATAAAGAAGCTGTCAGGCTACTTTGTCCTTCATCCTTTAATACAAATGCAAGTCCATCTTAAAAATTGATCTAGTGCACTGGACTTTTGCTGTCTGAAGTCTTGTGGTACTTTTCGTTTCAATATGGAAAGTGGTGCTCTTTGGTTACCTTTTGCCTTGCAAGACAAGTTAATAACTTACAGACCTTAGGTGATTCTGATAGGAGCTTTAATTATATATCCCAGCCTGCCTCAGAGAATAAACACTTTCTAGTTCCAGAAACAGGTCCACTATTTATTTTTGCAGTCTTTAGTGTTATTATTTTTTGGTTTGTTATAGACTATGGGGTTTGTTATAGACTATGGGGGCCTTCCTTCTACCTGGTGGAGATAAGTACCCTTTCAAAAGCTGTTCATGGTTGTTACTGCCTGCCTATAGAATATTGGGTCATGGAGCCATTCTGCCTACAGGAACTACCTTTGTCTTTCCACAATCAGTAGGTGCTCAAGAAGTGCTGCACTTTTTAATTACTTGATCCCCTTACCTACAACCCTTTCTTTAGGTACTCCATGGTTGTGGGGGAGGAACAGGTATCTACTGCTACAAGTGGTGGCTTGTTGGTAAAAATTAGCTAACTATTTACTCCCCCTTTCCAAAAGCTGACATCTGCAAACAAATACACATGCTGGAACTGGAATGTTAACATTTGCACCTGTTGTATGTCAAGACTGTTCCTTGCAAAACTCTCAAGGATGCAGCCTTGAGTTAGTGCTTGTTATCCCTTACAAAATAGATATGTCACTTATCCACTAGATGGCGAAGTTGGCAAGCTAAAGGTATTTTTGTTTTAAGCCTTCTAGCCTTTTAATGTTTTTGATGAGAGCAGCATGCTTATGCTTCACACCAACTAATCTGGAAATAAGTTTATGATACTCCAGGGAAGCAACATATGATTCAGGATCATGCCTTTTGGAAGGGCAGTGAAGGCCTATCACCTTCATAACATTTGGTGTAGATCCAGACTTTATACACCCATTTGTGCCCATTAATACTGGGAGGGCTACAGTATACATGTAAACTTTTCAGACTGCCATCTGGAAAGCTGCATGCCCAAGACAAGCCAGCCTCTTGTGCACATTGTGGTGCACTTGGGCATACAGTAACTGGAGCAAACAACTTGCAGAGAATATTCCAAAAGCAGTCTGGATTTCTTCATGTTAGGTTCTTGCAGCAGGGAGGGGGAATAGCCTTTTATACCAAATCCAACTAGCTCATGTTCTGCACAGCCTTATCCCACCATGGGGTGCTCCAGCTGTTTTGGACTGCAACTTAAATCAACCAGCCACCATGGCAAACCGGTTTGTGATTCAAAATACCTGGAGGGCACCCAGGCAGGTCTGACCTGACTGGCAGAGGCTCTCCAGCATTTTGGTTAGCACCCCATTGCCAGTCTTATCTGGAGAGGCCAGGGATTAAACCTGGGACCCTCTGTGTGCAAAGCATGTGCTCTACCACTGAGCTATGGCTCTTTCTAACACCACTTCCTTCAAAGCAATCTCTCTTGGTTCCGTAGTTTGCTCATGAAACCATCACACACACCCCTGGCTAGTTCAACTAGCCTTGCTGCAAACCATTTTGCCTGTCTGTTGCAAGTAGCTCATCACACCTGCTTGAATGTGAGTTTAAATTTACTTGTCCTTTTTATACTTGTGGGGGATAAATCAGGCCACATCCCCCTATTTAAGGTTTCAAGTTAGCAGCTCTTGACTTTTGTAGGTAACACATTCAGCATTTATAAGAATTTCCTGAGTCACTGAGCTACTTCTATACTTCCTTTCTACCAACCACTGTACAAACACATTTTCCTCACCACTAAAAGTGATCTTTGCTGGGGAAGGGGGAGGACAGGAGTGCTTCATTGCAGGGGGTTGGGCTGGATGACCCTCAGCATCCTTTCCAAATCTACAATTCTATGAAAATATCTCAGGCACTCTTGTGTTTAAGTAAAGAGAGTTAAAGTGAGGAATAAGTATCGCCTTTCAGTTGTTTCAAGGTATTCACACAATCCCTATAATTCTGTGAGGGAGGGCAGTGTCTGCGAAATGCTCTGTGGTCTTGTGATGGAGGAAGGTATATAAATCTAATAAATAATGTTACTGTACCTATTTTGCAGACAGAAAGCTCAAGGTTATAATGAAAGCTTTTTTAGTTTTTCAAATTCCTAACAATGGAGTTGCCTCCTACTTGTGGATTTGGGCAACCTTTTTTTCTTTGCCATTCAGAATCTGAAATGTGAAATTTGGATTTCCAAGCTAAATTTTGAATGGGGTTTACTTCAAAAGTACGTATGTGTTTTTGGCATCTCTTTGAATTTGACAGGCACCAGTTCTCCTGTACTGTCCAATCTTAAATATTGTTGTGTGCCATCTATCAACCAATTGTCTATTTCACAGGTTCACAATCTGGTCCATGAAAAGGGTGTGGAATAGTGGAGATTATCAGTACTGAGAGAGAATTGCTGAATAAGCAATTTAGACTTCCTGCCATCACAAGTTACCTGCAGTTACACAACAAAAAAACCCCCTTCATTGTGGTCTTTTGAGATGAGACCATTTTTTTGCGGTGAACAGTTAACTCTAAAAGGAAATATTCTGCAGAAAGCAACACACTCATTATGAAATGGTCTCAGAAGATGCACTAATCTATGTTAGTCCTAAGAAAACCCAGTATTGCATTATACAGTTGGAGATCAAAATAGACTGGTTAAAAACAAAATAGAGAGCCCTGCCTAATCAGAGTGAAAAGCTTGTCTGCTTCAGCATCTACAACTATTCGCAATGGCCAACCAGATGCTTCTGGGAAGCCTACAAATGCAACTACCAGTTGAGAAGACTTCTGATCACGTGTACACTGGCTCACAAAGACTTGTTCCATGCACAATTATTGCGAACAGGTTTGAGAAATCTGTTTGGACCAGCGTGCTATGTTTTATATAGAAGACATATAATATGTGCATGGAGTCACAAACTAATAAGAATCAAATAAATGTTCCATGAACAGGAATGGTAGGAGTGGTAAGTCACTGTCAAAGATCACTGAAATGGAGGCAAAGTGCCTTTCCACAGTCAATATCCTACAAATGTGAGATGTGTGCTCCAAACGTCACAATAGGGTGCTCCAAGCGCAGCAGCAGACAGTACAGTTCTTCCTCCTTTATCAGCTGGTTTAATGATGTTAGTATCATTAGACAAGTCATTAAGGCAGGCACGTTGGGACTTGGTTAAATTGTCCTGTGTCCTAGGGCCCCTCTTTTCGAGTTGTTCCAAATCATGGCTCACCAATTGATGGAATGAAGTGATGGAAGGATTAGAACTGGGCGGGATAAAGGATTATTTAGGTCTAAAAAGCTGTGTTTGTTGATCTCTGAAACCAAACATGTCACATGACTTAATATTACGCACAAATTTATGTAAATCTACCCTGGTGCAAAAAGCATTACAGCAAGGCTTAGGAACAAAACCGAGTCCCAATTGTAGGACCTGCTTTTCCTCTGTATATAGGCCAGCTTTTACAGGTGTGTAAGCAGGGCCATCCAACTATCAATCACCCAATGTCATAATGAGTTTCAGGTGACTGATTAGGTGGGCGGTCCTGCCTGCCTGCTGAAGTTGACCCACAGGTATGGCAGTAAGGGGGTCTGTTTCACCAGCACATTCCACACCAGGAATGTGTTGGCACCCAGCAGGATTGAATTCCATGCTCATTAGCTGATGAGTGGAGGGTTCAGTTCTGCCCTCTGCAGGGGCAGAGAAAGTGGGGGGTGCGGTGGGTGTGGGCCACCTGAATGTCATCACTCAGGGGGGTGACAAAATCCTGGGCGGCACTTACCGCGGGGCCTACAGCGCACCAAAGCCACGCATCTCTCCTAGGAGAGACACAGTGGCTTGGGCACGTGCAGGCTCCGTGCTGTCCGCACTGTCCACCTGCTGCCCAACCCCCAGCTGTAGGGCGGCAGAGTGGGAGGAGGCAGGCAGACTCTGGAGGCCCCACGATGTGCCCTAACCCCTATGGGCGGCTCACCTCACCCCTGGGCACCCAAGCGGCTTCCTCTGCTGCTGTCTGTCTGCAGGGGTTTGCTTCACTACAGTGAAGCAGCACCAACAGCACCAGCTGATTGACAGGCAGGTGTGGTTTTGGGGAAATTGTACTGTGGGCCAAATTGAAGGGCCAAGACTGGCTCACAGGGCAGAGGTTCCCCACCCCTGCTTTTAGGCATCACACGATGAGCTAATACAGCCGCCTGTCAACTGTAGCTGTAATTAGCACTGTAGTGAGCTCTTGACAACACTGGGATAGCATATCAAGGAAGCTAGTGCTGACCTGAGGATAACCCCTCTTCAGAAGGACATGATCCATCTTCTCCTACTTATGCACAGGGAGATTATTGCTTGGCCTCCCCCTACATGCCCACTCAATTCCTCTGCAATATGTTCAGTCATTTCTGGTGACAAAGGAATTATTCCAATCATTACATATCTGGGGGCCCATCATGCAGGCTGAGAGAAGGGAGAGCCCAATCCACTACCTATGAGCAAACCCTGCTCATGGTAGGCACATGCAATGGGATCCCTAAAAGGTCTGAGCCTTGGGTTGTGCTGGTGGATTTAAAATACCTGCAACCGATGGCTTAAAAAAAACCATCTGTGTAGCGAGCAGACTGGCTGGTGCCTTTGCTGGGTTGACTGCCTTTCTTTGTAATGCACAGCATCTATCACATCTGAGCCATCACAGTGTGCTCCATCTTGCCTCTTTCCCCTTTTTCATCTTCAGGTGGCACGTTTCATCTGAGCTTCCTGTAGCAGTGTTCCTTTTCACTTTTTCTGTCTTTCTTTCTTATTTCGCATTGTGGTTTCCGCTCACTGTTACTGGGGTGGCAGCAGGGAGCTAGGTGTTGGCAGAATGAGGCGAGAGCTATTTGTGACATCATTGTGGCAGATTGAAACAGGTGTTTTTCGTCCCAGACTTAGGTGTTGTAGTAAGCTGGGGCGGGGAATTGCTGCTGAACAATAAATATACCTTCCAGTAATGTTCACATTACAGTTTAAAAAACCCCAAACGGTTTAGCCTCAAACATCTAGAAGACCACAGAAAACCTCTCAGATAAGAAGGCCAGCAGCCGTTCCCCCACTGTCAGAAATTTGAGGGGTGGCATCCCAGGAGAGGATTTTTTTTGCAGCAGCCCCTAAGCAGTAGAATTCCCTCCTCGCAGAGGTCCATCTGGCAGCTTCATTGTATAGCTTTCAACATATGCTGAAGCCCAGCTTTGACACCATATCTATCTATCTATCTGTCTATCTATCTATCTATCTATCTATCTATCTGAACCCACCCTATTCTTCTGAGTGTAGATTGTCTAAACTGGTTTTAACCTTGCATTTCCATATTGTAACCCACCCTGGAATCTTATGATGAAGGGTAGGTAAGAAACAACAACAACATATCCACTTCTAGTCCTACTCAGTACACTCATGGAAATTGATAGACATAACTAAGGTTCATGAGTAAAACTTAGTTGGATACAAAAGAAAAGAAGAAGAAGAAGAAGAAGAAGAAGAAGAAGAAGAAGAAGAAGAAGAAGAAGAAGAAGAAGAAATTATTATTGTATTGGTTGTTGTTGTTATTATTATTATTATTATTAGTTCAGAAAAGGGCAATCCAAATGTTCAATGGGATGGAGCAACTCCCCTATGAGGAAAGGATGCAGCATTTGGGACTTTTTAGAAAAAGCAGGTCAGAGGGGGCATAAAACAAGTTCATAAAATTATGCATGGCATGGAGAAAGTAGATAGCAGAAGGCTTTTTGCCCCCTCATAAAACACTGAAACCTGCAGACATCCAAAGAAGCTGAATGTTGGAAGATTCAGGACAGATAAAATACTTCTTCAAGCAGCGCAAAGTTAAACTATGGAACTCAATCCCTTAGAAGGCAGTGGTGGCTTCAAAAGAAGACATACCCTCTGACATTTCTTCAGTGAAAATAGGGACATCCTAAGGAACAGCAGGACATTCTGGGATCAAAGCAGAAACCAGGGCAGCTTCTGTAAATCTAGGACTGTTCCTGGAAAATAGGGACACTTGGAGAGTCTGGGAGGATTAGACAAAAGGCTATCAACAGCTACTAGTTGTGCCGGATTTATGTATAAGCTAAACAAGCTATAGCTCTCTTTGGGGCCCCCAAAAAATTAAAGGGGGAAAAACCTGGATGTACATTTCCAAAATATAAGATAAGTTCAACAATTACTTTGATAAAATACATATTTTGTTATGTGCAAATGGCTTTAGATACCTATTAGGTCCATAAATTACCATATAGTGTATATTCAACACAAAAAACAGTGATAATTTGTTGTTGACAGCTGGACATATAAAGAGCCCCATTACCTTCAGTAGCTTAGGGCCTCATTAAACCTAAATCCAGCCCTGGCTACTAGTCATATTGGCTATGCCCTGCCTCCAAATTCAGAGACAGTACACTTCTAAATACCAGTTGCTGAAAACTGTGGAAGGGGTTATGCTCAGGTCCTGTATCTGTGCTTCTTGTGGGCTTCTGGTTGGCCACAGTGAGAACAGGATGCTGGACTAGATGTGCCCTTGGCCTGATCCAGCAGGCTCTGTGTAACGGTGTTGTTCCTTAGTGAGCAATCAGGTAGCATATTGAGCTGCACACTTTCATATTTTTTTTTATTCATTCACTTAAGACATTTCTATTCCACCTTGGAAACCAAAGCCTATGAGGAAAGGTTTTGAGTGCTGGGTATGTTTATAGGCTGGAAAAGAGACCATGAGATGACATAATGGTACTCATCAAATATTTGAAGTGTTGTCACATGGAAGATTGTTCTCTGTTGCTCTTGTGGGCAGCCAGCCATCCAGAGGTCACATAGCAGTGGTGGGTGGTGTTAGATGGAAAAGTGGATGGAAAATCGATGTGACGCTTACCTTTGTACTTTGCAAAAGTTGAAGGTTTCTACATGCACACCCACACACCAAGTATCTTTCCATCTTTCTTCCAGGCAAGCAAGAGTTCATGGAGGCATTCCAGGTAGACAAAAATGTTCAAGGAGGGCATGACCTGTGGGAGGGGGTGTGGTCTGGGAATAGCCCTGAGAGCCAAATTGAGAACCCCGGAGGGCCATATTTGGCCCAAGGCCTAAGGTTCCAGATAGCTTCTCTCTCTCTCTCTCTCTCTCTCTCTCTCTCTGAAGACATTCTTTTAAAACTATATTTCACTGAGACTTTACAGCATTGCAGTACCACACAGATCAGATTTATTACAGTACAAAAAATAGATGCTTTAAAAAAATAAATTACTTCCATCAAACATATTAAATTAACAGTTCACAGTATTTTTCTGCTTGTACAAAAAAATAATGAAAAACAACCTACCAGCCCCTCAAGCAAATATGAAACTTCATTTGGGGAAAGTAGGAAGAGCACATCCCCCTCTCCCACTTGCACCAATGTTCCAGGACACACACGATTATTTTCAGGAACAACTATCCCTCTAACACAGCCTTTGCCAAGGGGGTCTGGGGTCCTTCAGATGTTTTGGAAGAGAATCCCCACCAGCCCCAGCCAGATTCTATAGGCATCTGCTTGGCCACAGTGAGAAGTGTTTGTTGGACTCAGTGGGCTTTTGGCCTGATCGAGAAGGCCTCTTCTTATGTTCCTACATCTGATCCAGCACATGGGGATGCCACAAAGCCACCCTTGAGAGCTGAGGAGTCATTGGCAACTTTGGATGTTGTTGGAACCCAGTTCCCATCAGCCTCAGCCTATCCAGCCAGTGGCCAGCGATGATGGGAGCCGTAGTCCAACAAAACTTAGAGGACTGCAAGCTCCATATTCCATTGTTGTAAACAGTGAAATGGGTCCACATCCTAAATCATGAATGCAGATGCAACTAATCTCTAATAAGTGTGTTGGTAATCTTGTTGTGTATTATGAGGTATAAAAAGTACCGTAATCGCAAACAACAAAGGCTCTTAACATTATACTGCTGTGTACGGATTTACATACATTTTTACCCTGAAATATGTCCCAGAGAACTTAATGGAACTTATAACAACAACAACAACAACAACAACAACAACAACAACAACATATTGACTGTTTAGGGCTTTAAAGGTCAGCACCAACACTTTGAATTGTACTCGGAAACATACTGGGAGCCAATGTAGGTCTTTCAGGACTGGTGCTATATGGTCTCGGTGGCTGCTCCCAGTCACCAGTCTAGCTGCCGCATTCTGGATTAGTTGTGGTTTCTGAGTCACCTTCAAAGGTAGCCCCACAGAGAGCACATTGCAGTAGTCCAAGCAGGAGAGAACCAGTGCATGTACCACTGTGGTGAGACAATGCACAGACAAGTAAGGTCTTAGCTTACGTACTAGGTGGAGCTGGTAGATAGCCATCCTGGACACTGAATTAACCTGTGACTCCATGGATAGCTGTGAGTTTTAAAAGTACTTTGTAACATTCCTCAGCACTGCTTGCCAATGTAGCCAGCTAGTATTTCCGAGTGAATATCAGCAGTTCACTGCTATAGGACGTGAGGGTGGCCACTACCTTAGATGGCTTTTAAAAAAAGATTAAACCAGTTCATGGAGGAGAAGTCAGCCAGTGACTATTGGACATAATGGGGTTTAGGGTTGTATCTATCAAAGTTATGTAAGAATTAGCACTAGAACAATGCTATTTCCTCCTCCCCTCATATGTACCCTATACCAAACCCAAATCTGATCTGGAGGGATGGGAGGAAACCAAGAATAGATTTAGGGGGCATGCAGGGGGAGAAGAGGTGGGTAGGGCTCCATTGCACAAGAATAAATCACCGAGCCAATGAAATGAGCTGCTGAACGCTATGTTGAATACAATCCCATATCTCCTTGCAAGACCCCAAGCACCAGCACTGTGTCACTTCTGGATAAGCAAAAATGTCTATTTAGTCAAATGCTAATGTTCCAGTATGCAATTAAATACAAGTGTTGGTATAATTTTGAATATTATTTAAAATCAGTAGTATCAGTGGAAGTGCAGGCAAAACACAAAAGTTCCACTGGTCAAAGCATGAAAGCCAGCTAGTCCACAGATTGCAAAGGGGACCAGACCATTGCCTTGCCACGCCAGTAGAGTTTTAAGCCCATAGAGTCAGGTTAACCCACTTCAAACAGTATGACTTGGATTTTCTGCCACACAGCCATGTGAGGTCTGCTGCTCTGGGCCATTTGTATTTTCATAGCGTGTATTATGGAGCTGAATGCTGTCCTGCAAATCTTGCCTTGAAAGCCGTCTTCGGAACTCATCTGTGGTAAAATAATAAATGACAGGGTCTGCACAAGAGTTTAAGCTGGCAAGGCACAAGGCCACCGTGTGGAATATCAAAATCACTTTTCGGGCATAGCAGTCTTTTATCTTGTTGGCTTTCACAAAGTAATCCAACGGGAAGCTGATGTGGTAAGGTGCAAAGCAAATCAGAAAGACCACGGCACAAGTCAGGATCATCTTCAGAGCTTTCCGTTTCTCTCCAAGGTCTTGGGAAACTGAATTTTTTTCTTTTAGAGATAAGATGGTCTTCCACGAACAATAGACGATGATCAGCAGAGGAGTTACAAATCCAACTAGTTCACCAAAGGACATCATTACTATAGAGATGGTACCATCAACAGCCTTCACTGGAAGATCCACAAAGCATTTATTACTAATGTGTGTCTCATTAGAGGTGAGTCGTAGAAGGGGGAAAGGCAAGCAGCCAACACAGACTAGAATCCACCCAGCAATGCAAACGTACACATCGTAGATGCGTTTGCAGTCGCTGAACCTAAAGGGATACATGAGGAATAAGAACCGCCTCACACTGATGCAAACCAAGAAGTAGATGCTTGCATACATGTTGACATATTTCAGGTAGAAGCAAAACATGCACAGCTCCTTCCCAAGGTGCCAGCTTTCTGACAGGTAGTAGAAAATCCTCAGCGGCAAAGACAAAACTTGTGCCAAGTCTGCAATCGCAAGGTTGATCATAAAAATCACAGCCCGCTTTGTTTCTTTCATGTACCCATAAAATACCCAGAGGGCTAAAATGTTCCCAATCAGCCCAGGAACCAAGATGATGGTGTACATGACTGCATAGAAACGCTTTGAGAAATCATTCTCCCCATTGCAATCCGGGCCATCAGCCACCATGGTGCTTTTCAGGAGGGAGCAGAGACGCTGGTGGAAATGTAAGGTAACCAGCTAAAGATTTACCCCCCTTGAAACCTTGTGAAAAGGAAATGAGGATATAAGGCAACTGGAGAAGCTGCAGACGTGGAATCCATGAATTGTCTGTTTTCTTGGCATTCTCTCCAATGTAAAAAATGTATTCCAGAAATCTTACGAAGATTCTTTTGGAGGCTTGTTAGGATTTGTTTCTCCAAATCTTAGAGATTTATGTATAGGGCCTTCTTCAGCTACTTTTATCATATTTATGAGTTGGTCTTTTCATTGGCCATGGCATCCATTGGATTTTGATAGAAACAGATAACAAACTCATGTCCTTTTTCAAATGAATTTTACATCAAGGGAGAGGGTGGTTTCCTGTCTGGATGCACCAAAGCTGTGCATGGTGACGAGTCAGACTGAAGCAAGTATCATCTGAAGTGTTGCAGCTACTGTAATGAAATGATCTTCTATTTGATTTTGAGTGACACTCTCAAAAGACACCTCGTGGCTGGAGCTCTGCTGCAAATGATAACTCTACACCTACAGCTGAAGAAAACACAAAAAATGATTTACTCTATAGTTTGTTTGTTTTTTATTTATTTCACTTAACAGTATTTATATATGTAACAACACCTCTAAGCTGTTTCCAAGAAATATTAAAATTATAAATGAAAACAGCTAAAAATAAGTAATTAAAATCAATTTTATAAATAGAACCTGCAGTAAAGAGATTTATATCAGCATCTACATGTCTGGGAAGCTGTCCTAAAGAAAAATGTTCTAAGCATGCGCTGGAAGGAATGCAGTGAGGGCACCTGCCTGCCTGATGTCAATAGGCAGGGAGTTCCAAAGTGTAGGTGCTTTTCTTACAAGTGTGAACAAGTATCATGTGGCATCTGTAAAAGTGCCAGTTCTGCAGATTGAAGCAGTTGAGTGGGCACATATGGGGTGAGGTGATTCCCGTCCCAAGCCAGTAAGGGCTTTATATACCAATAAAAACACCTAGAACTTGGCCCGGAAACAAATCAGTAACCAGTGCAGATCTCCAAGCAGAAGTGTCTTACACAGTCAATGCTGAAGTGGTTATCCACTTCCAAGACTACAATGGGGTGAAGAACCTGTGGCCTGTGACCAAGAAGTCACCCTCTCGGTCTCTCTATTCAGCCCTTGGTACTCTTCCCACATTCCTTCTCCTCATGCATGCTACACTTTCACCAGCCTTGCTCTGCACTCTCCTCAAGTCCCTTTGCCTGGCTGAAATGTGTTATTGAACTGTGACAGTGCCTTTTGCTTTCATGGATGGAGAGATTTGGAGAGGCAGGGGATTGTTACCTGTTAGTGATTCAAACTGGCTTATAGAAACTTTTGCGTGGCTGGAATGTAGCCAGCTTGACAAACGTAAGAGTCCCATCCAATGGTCCACCCATTTTTGCATTTGGCACCACCCACCAATGGCATGTGGTTCCCTTCATCCAATACAAAGACGCACCACCAATCTAATGTGCCAACAACCACACATTAAGTTAGTGACATGTTGTGCTCATGATACTCATTGCTGAGCTTGGCCAAAGTCTTGTTGGCTTTCATGGTTCTTTCACAGCTCACTTTGTTCCTCAGGACAGATTCAGAAGAGCAGGATTTCCTCCCCCCCCCCCCCCCGCGGCGTTTATTGACTTTTCGTAAACTCCAGGAACATTTCAAATTAGTATAAGTGAAGGTATGGGATTTGGAGCGATGAAATGAAATACAGCTTACATAAACAGAACTGTCTCTTCCGGACACGGTAATGAAAATTCTGGGAAGCTTTGCCCTCCATTTGATCAATCCTGCACAGTGTAAATACAATCTGGCTGTATTTCTTATTCTGCTTTATTGCACAAGTCAGAATGCATGATATATTGCTGCCTTAACAGCATGGAATGTTTTATAGTCCAGTGCTATTAGTAACAAAATGTATACACTTAATATGGATTTGATAGTGATGGATAAAGCACATTAAAAGTAAAGGTAAAGGTACCCCTGCCCATACGGGCCAGTCTTGACAGACTCTAGGGTTGTGCGCCCATCTCACTCTATAGGCCGGGGGCCAGCGCTGTCCGCAGACACTTCTGGGTCACGTGGCCAGCGTGACAAGCTGCATCTGGCGAGCCAGCGCAGCACACGGAACGCCATTTACCTTCCCGCTAGTAAGCGGTCCCTATTTATCTACTTGCACCCGGGGGTGCTTTCGAACCTGGGACTGAGCAACGGGAGCGCACCCCGCCGCGGGGATTCGAACCGCCGACCTTTCGATCGGCAAGCCCTAGGCGCTGAGGCCTTAACCCACAGCGCCACCCGCGTCCCATAAAGCACATTACTTAATGTTAAACCATGTTTTAAAAACAGCCTCTTGTCTCCTGCGACACACAGATTGCTAAGCAGAAATGAAGTCCAAGATGCCTTGTAGGGCCCTTCAGGCCTTGAATACTCCTCATTGTTAAAACAAAAAAGAAATCTCCCAGCAAGTTGAAAAGTTATGACATCTGTTGTTAAATTTTTATACTGCTCTTTGTCTTAGGATCACAGTGTAGTTTACAATACATTAGGTTAAGAGAACATTCAAATATGTGAGTCTCCACCTGCTATGGTACATAGTCCATTATGCCATCACAAGATTTTATGTACCTGAAGACCAGGCCCAAATTCTGTAACCACAGAATACTGGCAACATCTGGGAACTAGCCCATGAGACAAACTGGCCAACCAGACCTGTAGAGATGGACCAGAATTTTGGCACAGATGGGTCAGATTTGATCAGGATGCAAGCCTTTAACATCACCACCCCAGTCAACCCAGAGTTTGGCCCCATGGCTTTGCAGAAGGTGGGTACAGGTGACTCCCTACTTATGTGGGGGCTACATTCGTGGGAACTGCATATAGTGGGGAAAACCACCTAATAAGACAAACTCCTTTGTGGAAGAGGGTGTTGATCAAGGGGAGGGAAGTTAACAGAGTGAGTAGTGGTCACTCCAAAATCCAAATGTGTCCACAGACCTAAAAAAAGATCAGTGACCCTAAATTTAATCTTTAGCGTGTATTTTTTTAAAATCTATGCCTGTCTATAAGCATATGAACATTTTAATGCAAATCTGTATCCCCTTTTTATTTGTGGGGGCGGTATGTGTCTCCTCTGTTTAGGCACCATGAATGTTTCACCCTGGTTAGGCTGACAGAGCAAGGTCACCCAGTTTGCTTCATAGCTGAGTGAGGGTTTGAAACCTTGTCTCCCAGGCCCTAGTCCATGGGTAGGCAAACTAAGGCCTGGGGGCCAGATCCAGCCCAATCACTTTCTAAATCCGGCCCGCAGACAGTCCGGGAATCAGCATGTTTTTACATGAGTAGAATGTGTCCTTTTATTTAAAATGCATCTCTGGGTTATTTGTGGGGCATAGAAATTCGTTCATTTCTTTTCTTCCAAAATATAGTCCGGCCCCCCACAAGGTCTGAAGGGCAGTGGACCAGCCCCCATGCTGAAAAAGTTTCCTGACCCCTGCCCTAGTCCAATACTCTAACCAATTCAGCACACTGTGAAGCAACCAACCAAAGTAGTAATACAGTGGTACCTCGGGTTACATACGCTTCAGGTTACAGACTCTGCTAACCCAGAAATATTACCTCAGGTTAAGAACTTTACTTCAGGATGAGAACAGAAATCGTGCTCTGGCGGCGCGGCAGCAGCAGGAGGCCCCATTAGCTAAAGTGGTACTTCAGGTTAAGAACAGTTTCAGGTTAAGAACGGACCTCCGGAACGAATTAAGTACTTAATCTGAGGTACCACAGTAGGAGTAGTAGTAGTAGTAGTAGTAGTAGCAGTAGTAGTAGTAGCAGTAGTAGCAGTAGTAATAATAATAATAATAATAATAATAATAATAATAATAATAATAATTACTTATACCTCACCCATCTGGCCGGGTCTCCCCAGCCACTCTGGGCAGCTCCCAACAGAATATTAAAAACTCGATAAAACATCAAACATTAAAAACTTCCCTAAACAGGGCTGCCTTCAGATATTTCCTAAAAGTCAGGTGCAGTGGTACCTCAGGTTAAGAACTTACCATAATTCGATCTGGAGGTCTGTTCTTAACCTGAAACTGCGCCGCTGCAGTTCCAAGGTACTATTTCTGAGTTAGCAGAGTCTGTAAGCTGAAGCGTCTGTAACCTGAAGCGTATGTAACCTGAAGCGTATGTAATCCGAGGTACCACTGTAGTTGTTTATTTCCTTGGCATCTGATGGGCTAAGCTCACAAGTGTGAACCATCCCTATGTCTTATAAAGTCTGAGTAACCATCTTCTTACCACTATACTTAACTGGCAGCCTGGAAATTTCAAGCAGTGTTGCCTGAAGTTAAAAATAAATGTGGGCATTTTAGTCTGCGAGACAATGGAAAAACCAGCAATGTGCTATAAAAAGTATGTAAGGGGGATTTTTATTTATGGGTTTCTTTCAAGTTCTACTTCCTGCACCCATTTGCTAAGAGTCTTCTACATAACCTCCCCCTCCTCCACTCTTTGCTTTCTACTTAAGCAGTAGTAGTCAAACCTCCACATATTTGCCACCAGGTATATATAATACCTGACTGTAATGCACATTTTTTGTGTATGCCATCTTGCCAAATGGGTATTGACATTTGCCAGTTAGAGTTTAACAGAAGCAGGGAGATGAGAGCAGTTTGGCCCTTAAAGAAAAAAAGAAAAAGAAAGAAAATAAGACAAACTCATAATTTATAGCTGCTTGTTCCATGAGTCACTAAAGGACGGTGGCTTAATAATTCATGGTTATTTCTCTCTTAACATACAGAGGTGAACCCAAGGTGAAGCCTCCTATGCAGGAACAAAGAGGCTTGAAGAGAGAGATGGGTTGCCTTTAACAAGTGCACAATAAGCAAGACAGTTTCTTCCAATATGGTGATTCTATGATATCCAGCTTTTAACCAGATTGTTTCTTTATTTTAAAAAGCACTCTGAAGCCTGTTCCTCATGACGTTTCTGCAAGTTAGAGCATTACTGAGGACGTGCCTGTCTTCATATTGCAACTTACACCTATTTCAAGCTTGCTTAATTGCCATGACTTTACCTCCTAAGGATTGTAGGAACTTGTATTACTGTGAAGGAACTGGGACTAGCTAGAAAAATCGAAGACAATATATTCAGCATTCACACAAAATTCTGCGAATTATAATTTTGTGTGAGTGCTGAATATACTTCATCTTCCCCCTGGATCTCAGGTGGCCTATCTGGCACACCAAAATCACATACAAAAATATGTGCAGATGATCTCAAAGCCTGCTGCTTATAGAGCCTGTGTTTTCTGAATGATTCCTCATATTAACCCACACAATGCCTGGCAGCTTTTGTGAATCCCGCCCCCCCCCAAGAACTGTGATGGGGTATTTAATTTTTTATTTCTATTTTAAAGACCTAGCACAAGAGAGTACTTTAAACATTTACGGCCCCTGTGAGGCAGCTATAAAGAAAACACATGAAGATGTCCAATGCTAAGTCAGACCATCTCCCAGCCCTACCTGGAGATGCTGAGATTGAACCTGAGACCTTCTGCATGTAAAGCAGATGCTCTACTGTTCAGCTACTCTTAGGAGACATAGGAACCAGGAAAGTGCCCTACAGAAAGTCTAACTCAGTATTGCCAACACTGGCTGACTGCTGTTCCCCAGGGCTTCAGGGTACTTTTCAAATACTACCCAGAGCTTTTAGGGATTGAGCCTGAGACCTTCTGCATGGAAAGCAACTGCTTTATCAGTGAGCTTCATTGAGCCTTGGCCCTTCTCAGTGGCAGTGCTCCACACAGCAGAGGACACATGGAAAAGTCTCTCTTTGCAACTGCTGAAATGCACACTGTTACCTTCAGGCTGGTAGTACACAGCCACAGTGACTATTGACACTGATGTAGAACTGAGGCTTGAGTGTGGTCTGGTATAGTGCTTAGATCAGTGGGGCCTAGTTTAGGAATATAGGAAGCTGTTTAAGTCTCCATTGATCCATCTAGCTCAGTGCTGTTGACATTGGCTGGAAGTGGCTCTCCAATGTTTCAGACAGGAGACACTACCAACCATACTTGGGAGATGCCGGGGATTGAATTTGGGGCATCACACATGAAAAAAAGAAGCAGCTCAAAGGCCCTTCTTCACATATCCCTACTCAGTCATGAAGTTCACTGAAGCATTTTAGGTAAGTTACTACCTCTGCGCCTAACGCACCACACAGGGCGACTATGGTAATAAAAATCAGGTGGGTGGGTGAACTGCTTTGAGTTCCCTGGAGGAAAGATAGGCTATAAATGTAACTGATGAGCACATGAGGCGATATAAGGACCTTTTACACATCATGACTGCCACATGGATGCTTTCATGCAGCCACTGTCAGCATCATGTCCTGCAGATTATTTTCTTTATTTTACAACATTATGCATAATTGTAATAGAACTTCAAATTGGTTTACAGAGCTGGGGTTGATTGAAACGATAGTCCAAAACATCTACAGAGTACCACTTTAATGGACACGTGTGTCTCAATTGTGATCTCTGTGTGGAGGCTATGGTCTAAAGTTGTTGCCGAAATATTGTGTGCCCCTCTTTTCTTTTTATGCATAGTTTCCCTTCATTCAGAGCTGCTGTAGGAACAAAGGTAGCAATAATATTGCATCTAAAGCAGGCTGAGATCAAGGGTGGAAGCAGAAAATTCTAGCCAGGACAATAAAATAAAATGATTATCATAATTCTACATTCTTCCAAATGTAAAATTCCTTTTTAAAAGGGACAACATTTAACACTCAGTTTTCCCTTTCTAAAGACTGTACATCTGCATACATTGGAGCAAGCTGTATATATAATCCATTCCTCTACCCATTTATTCCATTTGCAAATATTTCAAATATTTTAAATAAAAACCAATAAACATTTTCTTTCATCTCCAGCGCAAAAGTTCTATAACAACTAACTTACAGTTAAGATCAAATTCATTGTCAACTTCTAATGAGAAAAGATCAGAGCTAGATAACTAAAAACAATAGAAAGAATGAGAATCCTACCGTTGCAAATTGCCTCCTAACTTCAGATGAATTCTGCAAGTGCCTGATACTGTATACAAGTCACCCGATAAAGAAGGTTGCCGCCACTTTCTGGCCTCCAGCTTAATATAGAAAACAAAACTGGAAGTATGCAAGGCGTTCAAAGAGCATTTGATTGAACAGAAGCCCCGGTATAACTCGCAATGTGCTTCCGAAAGGCATTTGCAAACATCGTGCAGTCAGCACATGGCGCATTGACTTTTTCCAGTAGGCAGCACACCTTGTGATTGATGTTGGGAGAAGGCTATTTCAGCAGAGAGCATCAAGCAGCATTTGAACAACCTTTGCCGTTCAGCTCATTCCTCACGGTGGAGGTGGAAAGTTACTGTTTCTATATATAGATTGGTGCTTTTCTTCTCAATTGTATTTTGAGTGGTCCTGAGTCAGGGCTGGTTTTGTGGTAGCAAACGGTGTCATTTTTTGTTTTTAATCTGTGCAATTTGGTATGCCAGAAAGATAAGCAGATACACCCCATAACAAGTGGGTACCTTTTACCCACAGTAGCATGTGGCAAGCATTTGAAAACAAAGCACTGACTAGCAGCTATGCCAGTTACACCTGTGTCTTCACATTCAGTTGAATGAGCATAGAAATTTGCCTTATACCAAAAACAGATCATTGGTCCATTTAGCTTAGTATTGTCTACACTGACTGGCAGCTGCTCTAAGGCATTTCAGAAAGACCTACTCCAGGTAGGTCTTTCTCAGCCCTACCTGGAGATGCCAGGGATAGAACCTGTGACCTTCTGCATGCAAAGCACGTGCTCTACCACAGAGCTATAACTTTTTGCATATTATAAAGTGATGAAATGCTGACATAGTTGAATTTATGATGGGCCAAAGTATTAAATCCAGCCAAATTTTGTTGGGTTTCTTTGGGGGGAAGTGGGGGACACTAACCAAAATTGGGAAATTCTAGTGTTTTGTTGTCATCTTACCTTATTTCATAAAATACCTGTCTGCATATGTGCCACAACAGAATACAGCCCTAAAGATAATAAAGGTCCTTGCGCAAATTATTCTGTGCTTTTGCTTCACTGTGATCATGGTATATAGTGTGTTTCCCGTGTTCCCAATTTCAGCACTTGCTGGCCCTCCTCCCAGGTTACCCACCTCATACATCCCCTCACCTGCATAGGATTATCATACCACCATGTATGTATTTGGGGACATAATTTTTAATGTGTTTCCCCCCCACAACGCTGGAAGGGCCTTGAAGACAAGAGACTGCATACATACTTGAGGTGTGCCCCCTCTCCCTACTGTCTATTTTGGTTCTTCTTTTTCTTTTTGAAGAAAACTCTAGCACTTGGAGACTTAGTTAAACAGGAAAAATGTTTTATTTTCACAACAAAATTGGTAAAACAAAAGATGTGTCTGGAGATGGAATTCTTTCAAGAAATAGGTGTGCATGTGTGTGACACTAAACGTTGTCTTTTAATGTATCCCCCAGCTCAGAGACTTCTTTCTCTGGCTGTAGATCTTTCCTCAGGGCGAATTGCACACCCAGCTCAAAGGCTATCCTGCTATCCAGTCGAACGCCAGGAACTCAAACTCCTTTTTCTTTTTCCCTCCCAAAGTGTTGTCTCCCACCCTGGCTAGCTGTACCTGCAGCCAAGCAGAATGAGACTATAGCTCAGCACTCTGCAAGCTACACCACTCTGGTGGAATTCCGTGGCAATGCACCACAAGCTCTGGTCTACCTGGTTCGTTCGGGGTGCTTGTGCAGAGATGTGCTTTAAATGTATGGTCTGTACAAAACTGTATGGCTCAGTTTTACCAAATTTTTCTCCCAGGGTAAACTGCCCGGGGGTGAGTGTTTCAAAGATGGGACTTCAGAAACCTGTCTTATTCCTGCACCCATTCCAGCATACCATTATTGATTTTTAATTGTATTTTTATTGCTTCTTTTATTTCTTATGTTGCATTTTTATTGCATCACAATTTGAATTCTCTGGAGTTCGGATTGTAATACCGTACAATAAAATATCTAGCACAATGATTTGCAACTGCTACGAATCAGGCAAAAAAATCATTAAGTGATCCTCTAAGACCCCTGGCAATTTTCAAGTTCTTTATTCATAGAGAATAAAGAACTACTGCCTAAAACTTCAAGCCAACTTCTCTATCTAAACAGCTCATCACCATGAGAAAATGCTAAAGAGTCTTGTCTGCCTGCCCTGGAATCCAACCACATCCCTACCTTCTCTGCCTCTGGCCCTTAAGTCTACCTGAACTAAAACTGTATATGAGCCTGACACCAAGTCACCCTTAAAAGAGCTCACACCAGCCAACATTGTTAATTCATGTTATTCTCACAACAACCCTTGGTGTTAGATTAAGCTGTGCAGTGCTCTTCATAGTAGTGGAAAAATTTGAACCTGGGTTTCTTCTCACGTCCATACTCGGCCACTAGCTCTCTAATAATATACTCTGTACCAGGGATGAAACAAAAAATAATCAAATTAATATGGCTGAGTTTTGACTGGAAAGGAAAGCATTTTCCCCCATTCTACAGTGACGAGGGGTCTTGGGATAGTTTAGAAATCTTATGCTTCCTCTTTTGAGGGCACTATGCAGCTGGCTCTCATTATAGTGATCAACCTGGATAGAAGATTTATGTCTTTTCAAAGCTCAAATTCAACCATTTTGCACTGTGACGATACCTTCATTTTTTTATCAATAAATTTTTATTGATTTTCATTAAATATACATTCAGTATACAAATAAATTTCACATATATCTTTGGCTCTGCCGAGCTTCAGACTTCCCTCCACCCCTTCAGTAAGTATCGTACATTTTCTTACATTGCGTATTTTGTTTGTTTATCTGGTTGACCATATGCTGTTAGAGTTCATCTAACCCTGCCAGTGTCTTTAAGGTTTTACAGTTATCTCTTATATACAGCAAATATTTACTCCAAGTTTCATGAAACTTCTGTTCATCCTGATCTCGTATTCTCCCTGATAATCTAGCCAGTTCTGCGTAATTCATCATTTTAACCTGCCAATCCATAATAGTTGGTATTACATCTGTTTTCCAATTCTGAGCCAACATAGTTCTTGCAGCCGTCGTGGCATACAGAAAGAGGTTTTTATCTTTCTTTTTAATTTCCTTCCCTACCAATCCCATTAGAAAGGCTTCGGGGGTTTTGGAAAGGTATACTTAAAAACTTTTTAAAGTTCATTGTAAATTGATTCCCAAAAGCCCTTCACTTTACCACAATTCCACCACATGTGGTAGAGGTCTCCTTCCGCCTCTCCACATTTCCAACATTTCTTATTTTTCATTCTGTACATCTTTGCCAGTTTTACTGGCGTAAGATGCCACCTATATATCATTTTCCATATATTCTCTTGCAATGCCATACAGGCTGTAAATTTCAAATTTACATTCCACAATTCATGCCACGCTTCTAATTCAATGTTATGCCCGAAATCAATGGCCCACTTAATCATGGCTTCTTTTACCTCCTCATCTTTAGTACACCAGTTCAATAATAAATCATACATTTTTGACAGTAGTTTGCTTTTACCTTCTATAATGTCTATATGAAATTTTGATTTCTTGTCCTCAAATCCCAACCTCTTTTTATCTTCTTTTAGTATCTCATTAACTTGGTGGTACTGTAACCACCCTGTCAGTAAATTCTCTACTTCTTCATACATCTTAAGCTTTATACCTTGATCAGTTTTTCTAATAAGCTCTTCATATGTGGCTCTCTTTCCTTCCATGTTGACTTTCTTAATAATTAATACATCTGTTGGTGATATCCACCAAGGGGTTTTCCTTTCTATCAGATTTTTATTTCTTTCCCATACTTCATATAAAGGTCCTCTAATTATATGATTTAAAAAACCCCTGTGGACTTTCACTTTATCATACCACAGGTACCAGTGCCACCTGTACCTGTTGTCATATCCTTCTAAATCTAGAAGGTCCATATTTTCTAATTTTATCCAATCTCTTATCCAAATTAGGCACGCTGCTTCATAGTATATACCCATGTCTGGCAGGGCGAAGCCACCTCTTTCTTTTTTGTCAACCAAAATCTTCATTTTTATTCTTGGCCTCTTTCCCTGCCAGACAAATCTTGCCAATGTTTTCTGCCACTCTTTAAATTGTTTTGATCCTTTAATCACTGGAATTGTTTGGAACAAGAATAACATTCTAGGAAAAACATTCATTTTAATCACTGATATTCTCCCTAAAAAGGATAGTCTCAGTCTGTCCCATATTTCTAGATCTTTCTTAATATCTCTCCACGTGATTTCATAGTTGTCTTTATACAGGTTTATGTTTTTTGCCGTCAACCATATTCCTAGATATTTGACTTTCTTGACGCTATAATACCAGTCTCTTGTTGTAGTTCTTCTATCTCTTCTTTACTTATGTTTTTGACTAGTTTTGTTCTTATTGAGTTTGAACCCTGCTACTTTGCTGAATTCTTCTATTCTTTGTAAAGCTTCTTGTATACTTCTCTTTGGATCTTCTAGGGTTAAGACTATATCGTCCGCAAATGCTTTTATTTTAAATTCTTTGTATCCAACCTTGATACCTTTCACCTTTGAGGCTTCTCTCAATGTCTTATTAAGAACCTCCACTACAGATATAAACAACAGGGGTGATAGAAGACACCCCTGTCTGGTCCCCTTAGAGATATCAATAAGTTTCCGATACGTTGTTGTTTATGATGTGTTTGGCTGTTTGATTTTGATATATGGCTTCTATACCCTTTATAAACCCTTCTCCAATTCCCATTGTTTTAAAATTCTCTTTCATAAATCGCCAGGAGACATTATCAAATGCTTTCTCCGCGTTAGTGAAAATCAAAGCCGCTTGTTTATCAATTCTACTTTCTAAATATTCAATAATATCTACTGCAATACCTGACAATACCTTCAGGCACAAACATTCCATGTAGTTTTGCCCCAGTAAGGTCCCAGTTAGGAATGTCCTACTGGATATTTGTAGCATCGCTGCCCTTATGATACCATCACACATCACCCCAATCTCTGAGAGGTGAGAGATTCCAGGGGTTCCAGGTGCTTACCTAGGGTTCAGTTTCCTTAGCATGCGGGACAGCAGAGACTGTGGT